GGGCTCCAGGGTCCATATTTGGAAAGGCAGCACCTCCTACTTGATGCTGAATTTCTGTGTGATTTGAGCAGCCATCATGTCACAGAAATACTTAAATAGCAGTTTATGCATCATTCAGCATGCCTGCAGTTAGAGAATACGTCAGAGATTGTGCCCTGTTAAGGAAAGAATAGGAGAAGTATTAGGGAGAGGCACCTGACCTGATTGGGTGAGCAGGAGTAGGTTTCTGCTTACAGGATCTCTTTTCTGCCAACTTGTTGGAACGATCTCCCACCGACAGCCAGATAAACAGCAAGATTTTAGGGATCTCAGGCTGACCTAGTAATCTGAATACCTCTTTCTAGGGAAGTGCTCCTCAAGCATTCTGTGGCCTGTAAGCTTGTGAGCAGGTCTATGGGGAAGTAGTGATATATGAAACACAAATGATGCAGCGCTACTGCCATAAAAATTCTTCACACATAAATGAATAAGTGAAACCGTGCAAAATTAATGACACAAATAACATTAACACACAATATTAAATAGTGCCAAAAAACTCATAAATAATCACGTGTGACAAGTCGAGGTCCTAAAAGGACCAAATGACATAAATGGTGCCCCAAGTAATCCAATGGGATCCAATAGTGCTCCAAATCAAACAAGTAAGTCACAACAGGACTCAATGTGCTAAAAAACCTCTCACCGGAACTAAAAATCAGTTCCCACCATATAACACAAAACACACGTGCATCCCAATAAACGCATAAACTAAGAACTGATTATGCAAACAAACATGAATAAATATATAAAGTCCCGTGAGGTGTAAAACACCTGACAATATATAAAGTCCACAGCAATTCTTGAAGAAAAAAAAAAAAAAAATGCTGATAAATGTGCAGAGATATCCAAAAATTGCTGAATTGCCCGCTCACCTCTCTCTTGTGACCCGCACAGGGTCAAAAGGCCTTCAGGATCACTAGCACATGGACCCTTAATAGTAGGTAATCCTCCACAGCTCTCCACACTGACCTCCCCCCATGTACAGATTCAAGCACAGGCTCACAGGGCAGCAGATCTTCTCTTCAGGCACATAAGGTGGCTGCAGCCACTTGATCCCTCAGAAAATAGAAGTGAATGCTTGCATAGTGTAAACTATTTATTCACCAAACAAAGTATCACATATCGAATATGCTCACATTTAAAATCATCTTGTACATCACATGTAAATGAAACGTCAGATCAGATGTACTTGCATGGGTGTCCAATGTAAATAAGGAAGGCGTCCAACCGGAAGTGCCCTGATGAAGTCACGTGTTAAGCGTGACGATACGCGTTGGCGGTGACGCACTTCCGGTCGAACACCTTCTTTATTTACATTGAACACCCATGCAAGTACATCTGATCTGAGGTTTGATTTACATGTGATGTACAAGATGATTGTAAATGTGAGCATATTCGATATGTGATACTTTGGTGAATAAATTGTTTTACACTATGCAAGCATTCACTTCTATTTTCTGAGGGATCAAGTGGCTGCAGCCACCTTACGTGCCTGAAGAGGAGATCTGCTGCCCTGTGAGCCTGTGCTTGAATCTGTACATGAGGGGAGGTCAGTGTGGAGGGCTGTGGAGGATTACCTACTATTAAGGGTCCATGTGTTAGTGATCCTGAAGGCCTTTTGACCCTGTGCGGGTCGCAAGAGGGAGGTGAGCGGGCAATTCAGCCATTTTTGGATATCTCTGCACATTTATCAGCATTTTTTATTTTTTTTCTTCAAGAATTGCTGTGGACTTTATATATGGTTTTTTGTATATTGTCAGGTGTTTTACACCTCATGGGACTTTATATATTTATTCATGTTTGTTTGCATGATCAGTTCTTAGTTTATGCGTTTATTGGGATGCACGTGTGTTTTGTGTTATACGGTGGGATCTGATTTTTAGTTCCGGTGGGAGGTTTTTTTTAGCACATTGAGTCCTGTTGTGACTTACTTGTTTGATTTGGAGCACTATTGGATCCCATTGGATTACTTGGGGCACCATTTATGTTATTTGGTCCTTTTAGGACCTCGTATTGACCCTTGTCACACGTGATTATTTATGAGTTTTTTGGCACTATTTAATATTGTGTGTTTATGTTATTTGTGTCACTAATTTTGCACTGTTTCACTTATTCATTTATGTGTGAAGAATTTTTATGGTAGTAGCGCTGCATCATTTGTGTTTCATTTATATTTTTTGTCTATGGGTATATGACTGTATGTAGCAGCTTTACCTTTGTTGGTAGGTATTAGTTTTTTAGGTAGGAGCGCAGGAGTTTGTCACATGGAAGTAGTGATATGTTTTTCTGCCCCCGAGGGGCTGACAGAGGATTCGTATAGAAACGCTTGAGGTGGCATTAAAGGAGAAGTATAGCCAAGCTTTTTTGCCCATACTCCTCCTGAGGATCACAGGAGTGCACTTAGTTCTGCACTCCTGTGCCCCAGATTCTGCCTCCCCCCCCCCCCCCCCCACACACACACACACCACCTAGTGCTCCAGTGGGTGCTAGAGGGGAAGAGCAGAGCCAGTAACTGACAGTCACCATCTCTCTCTGCTCACTGAAGACCTTTGATCACTGAGTTCTTGGTGTAGAGCCATTATGGGACAACTGCAGCATCAGACCCATGTGCAGCCATCTAGGTGATTATGTATTTTTATGTTTTTTTAAACCTATACCACTCTTTTAAGGCAGCACTCTGTCACGTTCTTACTTGTTTCTCTCTTTACAACACTCCCAGCAAGCATTTTCATCTCCACGTATTATAAGACTAGACTAGTAGCATTTCTTAGCTGCCATATAGTGCAAATACTGGACTCCATCAGACTGATCAATGACCATGAGCTCCACCTTCCCTGGGGAGGGAGCGGGCTGGCAGGATGCTTACCCTCCCCCCACTGGAGTGTACCAGGCATCAATTACCATTACAATGCACAACAGAAACAGACAAATTAACACAAAAACATGGCATGGTGAGGTAGTGATACTTTAGTAGGCAGTTGCCTCATAGCTCATATTATATTACTATCAAAAATTTACCTTGTTGACAGACCTTACTTTTTCCTTGAGGAAGAAGTGTGTAAATTGGAACATATGTGGTGCCATTTCTGTAAATTACTTTATTTCTTTGATTGTTCACTTTCTACAATATAAAGTAACATTTAAGCATTGACATGCGTTGACTGCTCCCAATTCTTGGCTACACTGGTTGAGCTCTACCCACACGCTGCTTCCTTTCAGAGCACATTCAGCTGGCACTGGTCATCTGCCTCCCTTTATATTCCACTATTCCTGAAGCATCCTTTCACATCACATGTAGCCATCAGGGGTGTCTTGCTGCCTTCTCTCACTTCAAATTAGATGTCATTGATCCATGCTTCCTCCTCTCACATTTTACCATCTCTAATTTCAATTGCCACCACTTGCAATATATTATCCCTGGTCCCTTCTGTCTCCTTTGACATCACACTTAATTTGGCCATAGATGGATTGAAATTTGTTAGGAACCAGCTGAATTTAGATCCACCTATGGGCAGGCTGGTTGTACTGACATGTACTGGCTTTAGTACAACCACCCTGTCGGGTATTTTTTATTCAATGTCTGCTTCTGGCTATAGCCAGCAGGAGTAATCGTATTCTGATGGCAGGGAAACCTCCCCCTGTCAGAATACAATAGCCAGCAGGAGGGATTCCCCCATCAATACAGTCAGTACCCATAGTTGAATTAAATAAATTTGTTTAATGCATGGCCAGCCTTAAGCCTCAATAATCCCCCTGCTTCCTCTCACATTCCACAATCACTGTCAGTCCCGTATCACTTGGTTGTTGCTTAGAAAAACACACAAAAGTAGCAAATGTCAAATAACATTTTCCTTTTTCCTTCATTTTAAACAAATGGAGCAAAATAGAGGCACAATGTACATTTGAAGTATATTCAAAACGTCAAAGCCTAATTGCAGCCAAAATAAAAAAAAGTGTAAAATCAGCACAAGGGACATAGCTTACAGTCAGTGTGATGTGTCCCCTTCTCTGTCCATAGCCCCTTCACCATGATCTTTCAGTGCGGTGAGCTGTCACAGGCTCACATCAAGAGAAGTCGAATATTATCCACCTTTTCCACCCTTCTCCTCCATTCAAAGAATGTATACTACAGCTTTTATGAATAGAGGGGGTGGACCTATCAATCATCTGCCTGTGCTCCATTTATAGATCCTGTTTCATTCATAGAAAATGTCATAGTTTGCACGATATTAATATGATATAAAAAGGGTACAAAATGTAAGTAGACATTTTGAAAGATCACCTCTAAGCCACTGAAATACCAATTAAAGATCAATTAAAGTCACAAAAATATATGTATAATAAGCTGGGCTTTTTCTAATTGGGAACAAGGGGGAACGCAGTTCTGGCACCGCCATCACTTAATGTACTGTATGTGATGGCAAGAAGTTCTGGGGTGTGATGGAGGGGCTATTGATGCTGGCTGCTGGGGTATCTGTTGCTGGTAGGGGATCAACTGTTGCTGAGAAGGTATCTTTTGTTGTGGAGGGGGGTCAATTGTTGCTGGGAGGGATCTGTTGTTGAGGGAGGGCTGCTGGGAGATATGTTGTTGCTATCAGGGGTCTATTGTTAGGGTGGATCTATTCTTCCTGTGGGGTATTGTGTTTCAGGGGGAATCTATTTTACTGCTTTTTTTATTTATTAACAAATATAATACAAATTACTTGGCATCACAAAATGATACTTGGTTCTGTATTCTCTGAAAGGGGTAATACTGGGAGGTGGGTGAGGATTGAAACAAAGGGATGATGCTTAGAGGTGGGTAGGAGTTGGAGACCAGGGGTGATTAGGAAGTGGGAAGTACCTGTGTGTTCATTATCAATATTTTTTTAACCACTTCTTTAACCACTTCCTGTCTGGCCCATGTATATAAATGTATATAAACGGCTGGATGGGAGCAGTGCAGGGGTGGGTTGCCGTTCATAAACAGCGCTCGCCATTTTGACCTGTGCGCGCTCCCTGAGAGTGCGCGCGGCACCGCGATCCAGTGCCAGCTGTGTCCGGAGGACACAGCAGAATACTGATCACTGTACGGGTCCTCTGTGTGAGGTCTCGATCATGTGATCACATATTGGCCAATCAGTGATCACATAAACAGTAGTGCTTACTACTTGTGAAATCTGTGAATAATCACAGAGATCACATGGTACAAGGCTATTCACAACAGCCTTGTATCATGTCACAAGCTGTGACCAATCACAGCTCACACAGTATTTCTCAATGGCTGCAATAATGCCAGCGAGAAATAGAAATGATTGCTTTTACAGCCTTTATGGGTATAAAAGCAATCAGTGTAAGAAAAAAAAAAATCTGCATCAACCCCCACAAGTAGTACAGTGTCACTATGGTGACACTGTACTGCTAGGGTGACAGTATGTTAAAAAAAAAAACAACATAAATAATATTATAAAAAATAAAATAAAAAATTATAATTTTTGGTTATAAACTAATTTGGGTTATTTTTTATACTAAAAAGATAATTAAATAAATTCTGCCCAAGATTTATGAAGAAAGATTATTTATTTGCAAAATTTTTATAAGAAAAACACTTTTTTTTCAAAATTTTTGGACTTTCATTTATATAGCAAAACAAATAAAAATCCCAGTGGTTAATAAATACCACCAAAATAAAGTTTTATCTGTCTCAAGAAAATGCTAAAAAATTAATATGGGAACAGTGTTGCATGACCGCGCAATTGTCATTCAAAGTGTGACAGCACTGAAAGCTTAAAATTGGCCTGGACAGGAAGGGGGTAAAAGTGTCCGGACATGAAGTGGTTAAATAATTTTAATTAAAATTAACATACATTCTGTGTGATTGGCTAACCTAAATAAGAGGTAGAGACTGGAACCAATCAAGATCTATGTAAATGTCAGTCTGGTTCCCTTGATGGGTGTTACAGAGGCAAAGGTTCTGCATAAACTCTACAATGAAGTACATAATATATTTACAACACAGAATTTTTTGGCTAAGCTGCATATTGAATATATTGTAGGGTCATGCAATGTGCTGAGAGTTGTATTTATTAGGATATATCTGTTTTTGTGTGCTTTTGTTACAGCCATGATGTGCACATAGCTCCTGGATTTTGAAGATCTATGTGATCTAAGGAAAGGTTATAAGCAAGTGACAGAAGGATGCATACTTCAAAGGCAGTGACAGCAGCACAGTATGAACAGGGGAAGAATACTTCTGCTTGAATATAATTATACAAATGGATGCAAGACGAATAATTTGCACCAGGTAATGTAATGATGTGCTTTGAACTTGATATCAGCACATGTATATTCATTTAGAGATATGCTTGACTCAATGCTCTTTTTTTTTCATGGCCTCCAGTAATAACATGCAGCTACTATAGACTTTAGTTAATACTTCTACATAATGCAAAATCTCCTACAGGCACAATCGATATATAAATCCAGTTTGGAGATTTGTGAGTTGAGTATGTAATAGCACATTGCACATGGTGAACATTGTGTATCATATCTAAATGCCCATACAGAATGTATGTGTAATCATTATTGAGTAAAATTACATGTGCTGGATCTTCAGTCTTCAAAGACAAACTTGTACCAATAAATGGATTTAGTGGATAAGCATACCTAAGCATTCCTGTAGATGAGCATATATAGGAAGTGCATAGGAGGATGCCAAATCTTTTATCATTCCACCTGCACAACCCCCTGGGAACATATCATTAGTGACTGATTGGCTTAATAATTCAAAGCTCAGAATTTAAATTGTTCTGGCACTGTCCATTGATGTGTTATTTATTTATATTTTTTTTTTTTTCAGTGGTTAGGAGAACATAAAAAAACTCAACTACACACTTTGACTGGATGTTATCAGATTTTAAAGTATAGATGTAGTGCATATTATTGCAGCCTTTATTGTGGGTCTCCAAGCTAGACTTGTTTCCAAAGTTTATTAATAAATGTTGCCCTTCCTTATCACTGTCAGGAAGTCAAAAAACTCTATAGCCAAGAAGTATACAGTAAATCTTACATTTTTTCATTGAATTTATTTATATTTCATATTAGTATAATATTCCTATTGTTCTGTGTCAAGCATCACTTTGTGTATTGACAAACTTCCATCTGGCTAGTATAGTCACCTGCTGAATAAGCACCCTCCACAGAGAGCTCAACTGTCCAATAATATACAGCAGTTTAAAGCGTATCTCTATCCCCCCCCTTTTTTTTTCTTCCTTCTACCTCCACTTATCATGAGTTTGGATCTGCACATTTCAGATACTCGCCCATCCAGAAGATCCAGTGTTATCGCACTAAGATCCTCTCGTGCCCTTCACCGCCACGTTCAGTCCTGCACCGCCATGTTGTTTCTGATGTCATTTTTTTTTTTCAGAAAGAGTTTGAACCTGCCTCCTATACATTTGCCTAGGCAAATGATGTGTACTGTGCCTGCTGTGACATACATATCCCAGAAGGCCTTGCTCTGAATGAAGCAGCAAGGCCTCCTGGGATATGTATGTCACATCAGGCACAGTACACATCATCAAAAGTCTGCATAACTTTTAGTTCTTATAATTGTGTATTGCCCCCTTTAGCATTAATGACAACATGCAGTCTTTTTGTAATCGTTGCCTGAGGCCCAAATTCTTGCAGGTGGTGTAGCTGCTCACTCATCTTGGCAAAATGTTTGCAGGTCATGCAAAGTCTTTTTGGTCGTCTTGCATGAACTGCAGGTTTGAGATCTCCCAAGAGTGGTTCGATGATATTAAAGTCAGGAGACTGTGATGGCCACTCCAGAACCCTCACCTTTTTCTGCTGTAACCACTGAAGGGTCAACTTGGCCTTATGCTTAGGGTCATTGTCATGCTAAACCGTTCAAGAGCGTCCTATGTGTGGATTTCATGCAGAAGTGATACCAAATAATGGGTGTGGTTTAGGCTCAAAACTGAGTTTCACACACAATGCAAGGTTCAGGAAAGTGTAACATACAGAGTACTGGACTCAAGAGTGCATAACACACAGGAGTGCGTATTATGCAGTGATGAGTGTGTATCACACAGTGTGCAGAACAAAAATCAGCATCCCCATCCACAGCTCATCCTCTCCCCCTGTCTACAGCTCACCTTCTCTCTTACCATCCAAAGCTCACCTTCTCCTTCCCCATCCAAAGCCCACCTTCTCCTCCCCCATCCAGAGATCACTCTCTCCTCCCCCCATTCACAGGTCACCCTCTCCCCCCATTCACAGGTCACCCTCTCCCCCATCCACAGGTCACCCTCTTCCCCCCATCCACAGCTCACCCTTTTCCCCCAGTCCACAGAACGCTCTCTTCTCCCCCCATCCACAGTTCACCCTCCCCCCCCATCCACAGTTCACCCTTCCCCCCCATCCACAGTGCACCCTCCCGCCCCCATCCACAGTTCACCCTCCCCCCCCCATCCACAGTTCACCCTTTCCCCCCATCCACAGTTCATCCTTTCCCCCATCCCACAGTTCCCCCCCCCCCATCCACAGTCAGCTCACCCTTTTCCCCAGTCCACAGAATGCTCTCTTCTCCCCCCATCCACAGTTCACCCTCCCCCCCCCATCCACAGTTCTCCCTTTCCCCCCATCCACAGTGCACCCTCCCGCCCCCCCATCCCAGTTCACCCTCCCCCCCCATCCACAGTTCACCCTTTCCCTCCCCCATCCACAGTTCATCCTTTCCCCCCATCCACAGTTCACCCCCCCCCATCCACAGTTCACCCTTTCCCTCCCATCCATAGTTCATCCTTTCCTCCCATCCACAGTTCATCCTTTCCCCCCATCCACAGTTCATCCCCCCCCCCATCCACAGTTCATCCCCCCCCATCCACAGTTCACCCTTTCCCCCCATCCATAGTTCATCCTTTCCCTCCCATCCACAGTTCATCCTTTCCCCCCATCCACAGTTCATCCTCCCCCCCCCCCCATCTACAGTTCACCCTTCCCCCCCCATCTACAGGTCACCCTCTATTCCCCCCCCATCCACAGGTCACCCTCCTCCCCCCCCCATCCACAGGTCACCCTCTCGTCCCCCTCTTTCCACAGGTCACCCTCCCCCCCCCCCCCATCCACGGGTCACCCTCTCCCCCCCCCCCATCCACAGGTCACCCTCTCCTCCCCCCCATCCACAAGTCATCCTCTCCTCCCCCCCCATCCACAGGTCACCCTCTTCTCCCCCCCATCCATAGGTTACCCTCCCCCCCCCCGTCCACAGGTCAACCTCTCCTCCCCCCCTGTCCGCAGGTCACCCCCTTCTTCTCCCCTCTGTCTCAGATCACCCCCCTCTTCCCTCCCCGTCCACAAGTCCCCCTCTCCCTCCTCGTCCACAGGTCACCCTCCCCGTCCACAGGTCACCCTCTACCCCAATCCACAGCCAGGAGCAGACTGACCATTTGGAAACTCGGGCACTGCCTGAGGGCCCAGGGTCAGTAGGGGGCCCCATGAGATGCCCCTGGTACCTTTTTCATAGGCTTTTTTGAGTTTGGGCAAGGACACAGGGGCCCCATGATCCCCTATTGCCTGGGGGCCCCATGAGTTGACAGTCCGCCCCTGTCTACAGCTTACCTTTTCTCCCCATCCACAGGTCACCACCCCCATCCACAGCCCACTTTCCCTCCCCATACACATCTCACCCTCTCCCTGCATTCACAGGCCCTCCCCCATCCACAGCTCACCTTCCCTCTCTGTCCACAGCTCACCCCCCCCATCCACAAGTCATTTTCTCCTCTAGTCCAAAACTCACCCTCTCCCCCCTCCTTCCAGTGCTCACCCTCTCACCCTTGTTCACAGGTCACTTCCCCCCCCCCCCTCTCAGCTCAACCCCTTCTCTTCCCCACATTCCACAGTTTACCCTAGCATACGCCCCCCCCCCCATCCATAACTCACTTTTTTACCCTCTGTCAGCATGTCACCTTTGCACCCCCATCCACAGATTATCTCTCCCCCCTCCACATTTTACTTCTGCACACCTATCTACAGCTCATGCCAATCCATAGCTCTGAACCTCTGCAACCTCCCATCTTTGACTTCTGCACTCCCATCTCCTCCCATAGCTCTCTTAACTCTCTTAACTTGTTCAAATCCCCCAGCCCACGGCTCTCATTTTATACTATCTACTCCTCCCTTCAGAACTCACCTCTGCAGAACACCGACAACTTCTCTACAGATGTCACTCTACATAGCCGCCCCCCCCACCTTTCTCCACCTTTCCCTCCGTGGCTGTCCCACCTCTTAACAGTTGCATTTAAGCTGTGAAGCCAGT